TCTGCACAACAAGTTGTTGTGCAACTAATCAATCGCCTATCTACTGGGAGTAATAATCAAGGTCAGTACATCTATCTTTGTTTGTTTCTTGCTTTCTTCTTCTCCTCCTTTTTCTTCTTTTTTAAAGTTTCACTTAAACTAATTCGGATTAGCTATAACCTTTTATAAAAAGAATATTTGGCTTACAATATCAACACATGTTGATTCCTCTTTATCTTGGTTTTCTGTACGAAGCCATCTATTGATTGGCAAAAGCAACATTTATTATGTGGCTAGATGGTTTTTGTATCTTTGGAACCTAAATCAATTAATCAGTTAACTACGTTTCAGCTACAAACTAGTTGGGCTCAACTCCATACTTCACTGGTGACCATTTGTTTCAATTGCTTACCATGTGCTTTTTTTGTTTTCTTTCTAAATCCTCATAGTAGACTCTCTAGATTGAAGGCTTCTGTCAACTAGCTATAGTTGAGCTTCTGTTAGCTTTTCTCTCATTTTCCCTTTGTTACATTGGTCCCAAGAGAGATTTATAAGGGCATTCTTCAAAAGGATGCAAAATTTGTCTTTTCTTGTTGCTTATGTTGTGTTTAACTAGTTTCAATGTTTGATATGGAAATGGAAAATGGAAATAACTAACTGAACAGTTTGTTAAGCTGAAGAAAGTCATCTGGTGAAACATTGTTACTGTGTCTGGAAGGAAGTGAATAAGAGAAGTATTATATAAGCTTTCGGCAATGTGGTAAACTAATGAATTAGGAAAGATGAAGATAATATTATTAGGTATCAATGGCTAATTTTTTAAGTTGTGAATTCCCAGTTTGGAATTCTATTAAAGTTTCTTTTGCATTTTTTTTCAAGAGAGCAATAGGACTTATGCTATAACATAAACACCATCAAAAGATTTGCATGATCTTCCTTTTCTGCTTCAGCTACCCTCTTCAACTTGGCTCTGATGTGTCGCGCATTTGTACGCTCGATACGCAGTTTGCCATAGGCATTGAATGATTTCATCTCATCTGTGACCTTGACAAGGTCAACAGCTGGCTGCTCCCTAGTAATAGGCATGCATGAACCTTGGACCTGGGTGGCAGTAGCAAGTTCCTATGCACTAGAATCACCAGCCTTGACTTTCTTAGCACGCCTTGGGAAGATGACAAGCTTAGCTTTGTAAGCTTAGATGTTCCTGCGGCGATGATCAACAGCAATGCCAATGGTTGGTGCTAGTTTCTTGGGAATACGAGCTGCTTTCAGTTCTTCAAAAGAAAATTCCCTCCCAGCCCGGACTTTCATGTTGTATTTCAGTGTTGTCCATGAACAATAGGTCGAAGTGATCCCGCAGTTGGCCTAGGGAAGATCTTCACAGCCTTCTGCTATCTGCAGCACGTCTCCTAATTTTCCTAGTTGGCTGGTTGAACCAAGTCCTTACATAGTTTTGTCAATGCTTCTTGAAGTGCCCATTGGGTATAACATTGTTGTGCTTCATCTCTTACCTGGTTAGCTACTGCTTTTGGAGGCTTTGGGAGTACAAAGTCTTTTGTATTCTTACACGGATTTAAAGACAACCACTTATTTGTTGTCATCTCTAACTTGTTTTTGAAAAACTTTGTGCTTTAAGATTTTTACTGGATATAAGATTGTTTCATCCTAGCGAAAAGAACTGAAGACTTAGAGATCGACATTCTAGTACATTTGAAAACTTTGTGCTTTATGCATTATTTATGGACCATATCTATTCTTATAATGATAAACTAACTCTTGAAGGATAATGACTTTATTTATCCTCTTTTGTAGGTGGAGCAATTGAAGAAAGGGAAGATGGAGATTGTGAAGATCTAGACCTTACTTAAGAACTTTGAATTGTTGTCCATGTTCTAGGAATCTTTTGTTATTAACATTTGAACTAACTCCTGAAGTGTTGATGTAAAACTTATGTGATTGGGTTAAAATATTTGGTTTTATGGAATATGTGTTGATGTAAAACTTATGTGATTGGGTTAAAATATTTTGATTTTATGGAGATAATATAGATTATGAAGTGTTTTATATTTTTATTTATATAAATTTCAGGTTATTACAAATTTTATATATCTAAATATTCATTTACAGCCAGGGCGTAATAGTCTAATAGAACCGTTCCAATAGATCTTGCAAACCGTTCCAATAGGTATGGCAAATTGCTCCAAAATAGTCTACAAGAACCGCTCCAATAGGTATTCAAAACCGTTCCATTAGGTCTTATAAATCGTTCCAAAATGTGCAACAAAATGACAAAATAGGTAGTTAAAACCATTGCAAAAGAAATAAAACCGTTACAGTAGCGTAATGAAACCGTTAGAATATTTGTAAATAAACGTTGCAATAGCTTAAATAACAGTTGCAACATATTATATGGTAACGGCTGCCAACCGTTGCTATAAACTATATGGCAACGGTTTGTAACTGTTACAACTGGAAAGAAATACTCGTTGCTCCAGACAGAGGAACAACCGTTGCGATAGATATACCTTAAGCAACGGTTTGTGTACCCGTTGCAAGAACCATTACTCTATCTACTGGCACGGCAGCGTATGTAACGGTTTCTAAACCGTTCCATTAACTATATGGCAACGGTTTACCTCTCTATTGCAACGGTTTTACGGCTGTGCAATAGGCTCATCTTCCAGTATTGTGGATAGCTTCCGTAGTGGAGCGGTCCGGCATGAACCCAAACTGATTGTCGGATATAGACGTCTTCTTCCTCAACCTCACCTCCACCACCCTTTCCCAGACTTTCATGGTATGGCTAAGTAACTTGATACCCCTATAATTGTTACAACACTGGATATCACCTTTATTTTTGTACAACGGAACCACTGTACTCGACCTCCATTCATCCGGCATCCTCTTCGTCCTAAAAATTACATTGAACAACCCAAACAGCCATTCCAATCCTGCTCTACCCACAGACTTCCAAAACTCAATCGGAATTTCATCTAGCTCGGTCGCTCTACCCCTACTCATCTTGCGCAAAGCCCTCACGACCTCCTCCACTTTAATGCGCTTGCAATTCCTAGAATCTCAGAAACCCTCCGAATGCCCCAAGTCCCCTAGCGCTATATCCCAATCCCCCTCCTCATTTAGAAGACCATAAAAGTATGTCTGCCATCTCTGGTTAATCTGGGACTCTCCCATTAATACTCTATCATCCTCGTCTTTGATGCACCTTACTTGGTCCAGATCTCGGGCCTTCCTCTCCCTCTCTTTAGCCAGCCGAAACTTCTTGTCCCCACCTTTCTCCCCTAATTCCTCGTATAGACGGCTAAACGCTGCATTTTTAGCCTCCGTGACCGCCAGTTTTGCCTCCTTCCTAGCCACTTTGTACCTCTCTTTATTCGCTCTCCTCTCCTCCTCGTTTGTGCTCCCTGCCAACTTCGCGTATGCTACCTTCTTCACCTCCACCTTACCTTGGGCTATGTCATTCCACCACCAGTCTCCCTGGTGCCTGCCAGAAAAACCCTTCGATACACCTAGCACCTCTCTTGCCGCCTCCCTCACATAGTTCGCTGTCGTTGACCACATAGTGCTCGCGTCTCCACTACTCTTCCAAGCTCCCATAGCGGCTAACCTCCCCTCCAACTCTTGGGCTTTATCCTTGGTTAAAGCTCCCCATCTAATCCTCGGTCGGCCATGAGCATACCTCTTCTTCCTCTTCATCATAATGCCGATGTCCATCACTAAGAGCCTATGCTGAGTCGCGAAGGTCTCTCCCGGTATAACTTTGCAATCCTTGCACAATCCTCTATCACATCTTCTGAGGAGAAGGTAATCGATCTGAGTCTTCACCGCCGAACTTCGAAAAGTAACCAAGGTTTCATAAATTAGAATGTTAATAATAATTCGATGGAATAACTCAAGGTTTTAAAGTAGTGACATGGACACAACGCTTGATATGTGAATAAGATGTCACAAAATTAAAATCCCGTAGCAAACGAAATTTGATACTCCTATTTAAGTTGAAAAGGAATAAATCAAACCTGTTCATCGACTAAAATCAGACCAAATCTTAGGGGGAACTATTGCAATAAAAAAAATGGATAGGTCAATATTGAATTTTAGAATAAAAATAAAATTAAAACTCCCGGGCTAAGGAAGCAAAATGCCTTTAATGTTTTTGGCAAGTGTAGTTAATGGGAAAATAGCAAGACCGACGGATCAGTTTTAGTATTAGTTTACCAAAACTATCCCTCGTTCGCCTTTTTCCAGTATTTACATCAGTGTGGTATTTCTGTTATTATCAGAAAAGAAAAGCTTATTTTTGAAAGCATGGGCTCACGTGAACCTATATCCTACAAACTAAACACGCCCCTGCCCTCACCATGTGGACGACAACTCCCCAAAATTGTTTTGATTTAATCTATGTGGATTTAAATTTAATAAATACTTATTCACGTCGGGTGTTTATTAACTCACTATGATTAATTAATTTAATTAGATGAGAATACATGTAATTTACCATGGTTAAATGATTGAAGTTCATATGCAAGACACATGTCATATATCTATTGGTTTTATGTAAATATCCGGTGCGGGTAAGATTAACTAGGTTCAAAATAATGTTAGACTTTACATGTACAGAATTTTCATAAATTAGGAGGTTAATTATAATTTGGTAGGATAGCTAGAGGTTTTAAATTAGTGACAAGAACACAACACGTGATACGTAAATAAATATGTCCCGGAATTAAAATCCCGTGGCAAATGAAATTTGATATTTAAGTTGAACAGGAATAAAAGTGAACTGAAATCAGACCAAATCTTAGGCGGGGGGCTTTTTGCAATAAAAAAAAAATGGGTAGGTCAATATTGAATTTTAGAATAAAAATAAAATTAAAACTTCAGGGCTAAGGAAGCAAAATGTCTTTAATGTTTTGGTAAGTGTAGTTAATGGGCAGATAGAAAGACCGACGGATCAGTTTTAGCATTAGCTTTCCAAAATTACCACTCATCCACCTTTTTCCAGTATTTGCATCAGTATGGTATTTCTGTAATTACTGCAAAAGAAAGACCTATTTTTGGAACTTACTATCAGCATTTCCTCTTCAAAAGTCTGATCAAGTACAGTCTCTGTTCCTTTTTCCCACTGAAACAAGAACTTGATAGAACTCAAGCTGAGGACATTGCTACAATTAGAAGCGAAGGAAAAAGAAGATTTTCCTAAATGGATTTTCTAAGTTTTACGCTTCAGTTGATCGATTTCCTGGCTTGGTAAATTCAATTTCTTTCTCCATTCTTGTTTTTGTTTGGTAAAAAATGGAGCTTGGGCATGAAAATTAATCTTGAGAAGTATAGTAGTAGTAGTAAAAAAGAAGAAATTGAAAGCAATTGTAGCTTTGTAGCTAGCAGATTAGTGTTGATTTCTTTTTACCATTATACATATATACTTGCATGATTCTACTTATTCAAGTACGTATTTTGCATGTATGTGATTGTGTATTTATATTTTCTTTTGCTTTTTTTGCTGTACCAAATTTGCAGGCCGGTAGTTGCTCTGGGCTATCCTATGTAAGTTTGGGGAACTCCCCATTACTCCATACTAATCACTTCCTTCATCCTTTACAAGTCTATTTTACAAATCCATAGCAGAGGCGGATCCGGGATTTAAACCCTCTTTTAAATTTTTTAGCATTGAATCCATTATATTTTTAAAGTTATGGGTTCATGTCTACTATTTTTGCAATTTTAATGAATTTTTACTATAAATTTTTAACCTGTCCGAGTATACCCTACATCCGCCCCTGGTCCATAGACATATATAGTATGTGATCTTACAATTCCATATCCTGATGGAAGTCCTTTTCTTTACAAAAATAACACAACTTCTTCTATTTTCCCAGTGAATCTCTTTTGTTACTGTAAGCATTTTCCTTATACAACATTTTCTCATAGAAAATAAGTTTTATATGAAACATTTCTCCATTCCAAATGCAGTGGCTAGCCAAGAGGTTGAACAATGCATGGGTCTTAAAAATGGAAAAATGTGACATCTAAGATTTTATCCTGTGTTGAGGCCGGGATTCAATAATTTATATACATACATGTAAATATCAAAAGTTTTGTTTTTATCCTTTTAGCATAGTGTAATATTGAGTCGAAGGGGGATTTAACTTAGCCTCCTTCACTAAAGGTAGCTAAGGCCGGCCCCAATTGCACCCTAAGCAGAACAAAGTTTCAAGTGTTGAATGCTTTATAATTCCAGCCACTACAAGAAATATGAGCTACGACGACATTTTATAAATGTCGTATTAAGTCACATATAGTCACTTACCGACATTTATTTTACACTTAGTTCAAATGTCGTAAATTTCAATGTCGGGAATTTTCCGACATTTATACTAATGTCGGTAAAAGATTTACGACATTTGTTTATGACTTTTATGAAAATGTCACATTATAGCTTTGGTTACTTGTGTAGTATATTTCCTTGTTACTGGTAACATTTAGCAATTCGTTTGTGGAACTGCAGATGTGCTTCAATCCGAGCAATTGAGACTTGCTCCAAGTATCACATGAGGAAGCTAGTCACATATTGGACCATCTTTTCTTTTATTTCTCTGTTCGAGCATGTATTTGAGAAACTTATTGAATGGTAATCTGCTGTACTCTTAGCTGGCTATATTAAAAGGGGCAGAACTTAAATTTGTAAACTTTATTTTACATGTATTCCTTTCATTATCCTTTTTAAATCATATGGAAATGGCGACTCTTTGAATTTTTGACACTTAATTTAGGCTAACGTCTTGCAAGATCATTTGGCAAATTTTCTGTCTTGAAAAGAAATAAGGGGAAACTCAAAATCGTTTATGGTTAACTTATGAAACTACTCCTGTTACATATACTGATATCTTTTCATTTACTTTGGCAGGATTCCTTTGTGGCCTTATATAAAATTAATTGCCATATGTTGGTTGGTAATACCTGAGTTTAACGGCGCATGTTATTTTTATCAAAATCTTGTTCATCCATGTTTTCCATTGAAACTGCACGATGTTATTGCTCAGTTTTATGGTTGTTGTTATGTTTGCCAACGCTTTGCATATCTGTGCTCGTTTGTCAACCTTCAAACTTTCACTGACTGGTTTAACAAGCCAATGGAGGATCCGTCTCTCCAGAATGAAACATTTTGGGATGTGGCAGAGATGTATCTTGAGGAAAATGGATCTGATCCGCTGGTGAAACTTATTGCAAGCAAGGTATGTCAGATGTTACTTTAGCAAGGAGTAGCCAGTTCATTACCAAATTGGCCGCACAGTTGTTTTGATGTACTTTAGCATAAATTCAGACTACTAATCCATTTCAGTTGCCAAAAGTTAGATTCCCACCATTACAGAAGCAAATGTATGACTACATATTCGACTGGATTTTGTAGCAACTCGGGCTTGCCTATGGTCTATTGATTATTTTTCAACAAGCATAAACTGTGGACTTATCATGACCTCGTATTTTCAGTCCAAGAATTATACTTCGAATAATCATGCAGCTTCCTGTACTGTATGAAACAGTTTTTAACTTCTTGTGCTGCTGCTTTATTGGTGTTTCAACTCCATAATGATTTGGGAAGTTACCTTTGCAGTGTGTGTGTGTGTATACACACACATGCACTAATTTTTGAGATTTGTTTAGTTCCAGACTAATTCGTGAATGCTTCGTCTGCATAGATGTAGTGTACCTTCCATTCCTTTAAACTATTATAAGTACATGAGCGATAGATTATTGTAATAACATTATGCAGCTATCAATTTTCTCAAATAAAGCATCAAAGAGTCTGAATTTTCCTTTTGTTAACAAAAGAACTAGTTACATTCCTATTCTTCTCTAGTGAAAATGTTTTTTCTGTTCACATGCTTTCGTTCCTTAAAATCCCATAAATAACAATCATAGTGCCGCCCCTACTCAGACAGCGTGTGAAGGGAGTGGTCCTGTTTGGGAAGATATCAAAGTGATGATCGCAAAACATGAAGTAGCTGTGCCCAAACAGGTTATATTTTTTAACCCCTTGAATTTCCTTAGTTACTTTTTTTTTTTTTTTTT